CTTTGCCAAAAAATATACTTCGCTACTAGTTTTCATAGTTAAATAATATTATATAAACTTTCGCATAACAATACATCCGTGTTGACCTACAAAATTGTGCAAAATTTATTGAAAATTTTAAAGACAAGTTGTCATAGCGCTACTAACAACAAAAACAAACTGTGTATTACTAAATTCACCTACTTTTCGCAGCAACATCAATGAAAGACTTAAGCAGCGAACTTGACATTGCTCAAGGCTTTGTGTTGTGCTTGATATCTGACACAACATTTTTTTTTTTTACTTTGCAAACAACAACTTTTGCGTGGAAGACAAAGTGGTTAAAAGAAATGTTAAAATGCGGCAACAGCTAAGTTAAGATGCTTTTAAAATAGCAAATATAGCAAATATATTTACATAATAAGCAACTGCAATGGAATTTAAGTATATATGGAGAGTGTTTCGCTGACATATAATATACTGTACTTTAGTTTGTTAAACAAAAATATGGAGAGTTTACGCTTAACTTGATTGCTCGAAAGTATTTTGTAACTTAGATTTGAAGAGTTGTTAATGAGAAGCACTTGGGTGTTGTACTTACTAATTACGTATTAACAAAAATTCCTGTAATTTAGAAAGTGCATTAAAAAGTAAGGCATGGGACTTTTAAAATTTAAGGCTATTTGGCATAGAGCGAATAAGGGACATGTATGGTGTGCAAATATTCATAAATATCTTTGCACATGCGTATATAAGTATGTTCCTATGTCAACGTTTAAATGCACATAACTACAATATATTTGTTTGTTTTTCCTATGCATTTAAAAACAATGCACAACGAGGTGTTGTGCTTCGAAATAACAACACTAACATCCAGTTTAACGAAAGCAATTTCATTTAAAAATTAATTTTATTTGGAAATGCTGGCGAATTGCCGTATTTAATTAAATTTGTTTTTATCTTTAGAAATAATGTTTTTAACGGTATATTGGTATCTGCGAAATTTACATATACTTTGTATGTAAAAAGCGCCAATTAATTTTGAAACTCGTTTGTTTTAAATACTTGGATTTTTTTGCGACCTTCAGAATTTACGAGTTGATTAAAGCTGCTCAACAATTAAAGAGTTCTATGTTAAGTTATTTATCTTTGATGCAGTAGACGAGACTGTTAATGATCTCGTGCTGTTCTTGTGGTTCAAGGTACTTTCTAATTAATGACTGCCAATTTCATTATTACGGTAAAAAATACTTTTTTAGAAACGAAAAAATAAATAGAAATGTTTTGGATTACACGAACAAGTATTGATATGAAGCGTTCATCTTATTTAAATTTTTTACCTCTTAAAAAAGTTTTCGGACTTTGAATGTAAAAACAACTTTTACAGCTTACATTTTTTTCCTTTAATTAAATAAGACAATTTTCGCGCAACTTGAATAAGGAGTCTCTTATGCTTTTGATAATACAGCTTTTAGATAATACAACGTTTAAAATAATAATGATCTGTTAATTTTAAGAAAAAATTTTACCTCTAATCACATAAAAAATATTAAGATTTTCAAAGAAATTTTATTCAACTTCAAATACGTGCAAACTATTTAGTAATTAAATAAAAAAGTGACTGTAACACTTTATAACAAAAATTATAATTTAACGGTTAAAATGGATTTCTATTTATCGACCAAGAATAATCGTTATTTTTGGATTTTTTAGTTTTGACGAATTTTGATCGTATTTTTTTATTATAAAATAACCGTTATTTTCAGATTAAAGTTTTTCGATCACAATAGATTCGCCACGCTTAAAATTGATCAAAAAAATAAAATCCAAAATAATGAATATTTTTAATCGAAGAAATAAGCATAAAAAAAAAATTAAAAAAATAAGACCAAAATCTGCCGATTGTGATTGATTAAAACAAAAAATTATATAAAAAAATATCATCGATGTTTTTCAAAACCGCCTTTTGGGCTAGACGTTGGGTGAAAGCTATGTTGCATTTGCAATTAAAATGCTTCTGGTCCAAACTGGATTGGAAGTGATCAAATAAGCTGCTAGTGATTGCAAAGCTACAACTATCGTTTTTAATGGGGCGCTAACAGTTCACACTCCGTTCGGAATGACTTTACGATGGCTGAGCCTTAAAAATGTTTTGCTAATCCTTAGCCTCAAAAATTGAAGAAAGCAACCATAAAATTAAATTAAGTTTTTGAATTTAGAAACATTTCAGCGATTTTGTAAATATTTTCTTGAGAGTTTTTCTTTAAATTTTCTTCGTTACCGTAGATAAAATGTGAAATTTTTAAAAATTTTAAAATTTTTTTCGCCATTGGCAAGCACTGCAAAAGTTTATTAAAAAATGATTTTATGGTGATCTCTTTCAATAAAATTTTAGTATCAATGCCAATGATTTTACCATTTCTTAAAGTTTGAAATTCTTCATAATCTTTTTTTATTTTTATTCTGTAATTTTCATAAGAGAAAATTTTGTCGGTGAATATTTTAAAAACTTTTCTTTTTTAATTTTCGTTTTTTTTATTCAATTTGCCAAAATTGCTGTAATCAATTTATCACGAAAAACAAAGAAAAAAGTTTTTTAATGAGATTTCCTTTTATTTAAAAATCTTTTAGCGCTTCCTAAATTTTTTACTTCATATTTTTTTGTATACATGTACATTTAATGAACATACATAAATAAATTAGGGTGCATCATCCTCCACACAAAATAAAATCGGTACTCTTTTTCCACCGGAATTATAAAATGTGTCATGGAGTCTCTTGTACGGCACCACAACGGGCCCATGGTGGCCTAAGTGTGCCCCTTTTCCTGTAGGTTTAGGGCAGCCGAGTTAACCTATCATATTTTAAGACTTTCGCCAAACTGTTTCAGAAAAACATTTATATTACCGTGAGCTGCAGCCATTTAAAAAAAGAAGTAAAAAAATCGAACGTTTTATAAATAAAATAAAAATACCTCAGTTGATAGAAAAGTTTAAGCTTAAAATTTCTGAATAAAAATAGTTAGAAATTTTTTCACGGTTAAAATTGGTGCAGCTCGAGAAAATCTTAATTTTTCCCGAAATATTTTGGCAGAAATCTCAAAATATAATATATTTTATAATTCTGATTTAAACCGAAACCTTTTTGATGAGACACCCCTATGTAAATATTATTTTTTTTTAGTTTCCTAATAATACTTACTTTTCCTTTATTACGAAAAAGTCTTTATGGTATTTTCTTTTATTAAAAACGTAGGTCTAAACCATGATTAAATAATAAAAGGTTTGCTCAAAAAACAGTTTTCTCGCTCCCTCTTGATAAAATCGGCTCCCTTAGCAAGGCACTGCGTGGGGGTTCGTGTGTGTGTGCAAAGTTTTTGTAAGGGAGTTAAGGGAGTGTCAAAACTCTAATGTCAATAATGAGCAAACATTTAATTATTGAATCATGGATCTGAACAGCTTTTGAGCTTTGAAATTTTCGATAGTTTTTAAAATATTTTGTTTTATTTTTTATTTTTACTTGCCATCTCCAGTCAGTGATATGATTACAGAAATGACATAAAACACTTTCAAAATCCTTTTAATTTTCAAATATTTTTTTGAAATGTCAATTTACTGTTATTTTTTCTTTAGATGTATCTTGGCTTTTAAATATATTAATTGAAAGGCTTTCAATGAAGTCTTAATTTTTTTTTTGCTTTCCGATAATTTTTCAAATATTTTTATTTTTTCAATTCCTCTTATTGTTTACCCTTCAGAAAAATTCACATTTTTAAAATTTCCAAAGTATTTTACTTAAATTCGCTAAGTCATTTGTCAACACAACTAAGTGCAATTTTCGCTCTTTCAAAATGGTAAAGTTTTACTTATTGTCTGCAAACTATTATAACAGGAATCATGAAAAGTTAAACAAAAAAATCTTTAAAAATCTACTTCTTGCTAATTAAAAGAATACTTCTATTTTTGAATTTCATCCCTTAGTTTTTATTTATTCTTAAGCTAAATTGTAACCTTCCGTTAAAATGTTTTATTTATATTTTTTCAATAAAATTTTAAGTTGTGTTTAAATTTTAGAGTAAAATTTTACATGGATGTCTATGACAGCATGCCACGTTAAAAAAAAAAAAATTAATTTTCAAAAATTTTTTTTACGTTTTCATTAAAAAACATAAACATGTCTTTAGTAAAATTTTACATGGATGTCTATGACAGCATGCCATGCCATGGTAAAAAAAAAGAAAATTGAATTTTCAAACATTTTTTTTTAACGTTTTCATTAAAAAAATATAAACATGTCTTTTTTTGTAATAGTATATTTCCGCCATGCAGTAATGGCAAATGCAGTGTGGCAAGCGCTTGCAAATGTGTAAGCGGAAAATATTTATTTATTTTAATCTCTTTTTTATTTGTTTTTAATTTTTGTTGAATAATTGTATCTCAAAGTCTTTTCAAATGTTAACGATATAAAATAGGAAAAAATTTTCAAGTTGACTTAATTTTCAATAGATATTTCACCTTTTAATTTTTTTAAATAAATTTATTTTAAACTTTGTGTAATTTGTATTCTTCACCAGCAACAGTTTTTACGTATTCAATTTGTTTATCTATTTTTTATTTATTTTTATTTTTTTTTTTATTTTGTAGAGAAATCCTGTTTTGTTTTAACGTTTAATTTTTTCATTATAGCATTGAAGTATTCGCTTGCTAAGCACAAATGTCACAGTTTTTATCTCTCGCAGTGATTAGCCATTCATAAAACTTGATTTTTTTTTTTTGAAAAAAATTAGCTTGTTTTTGCATAAATATTTTCAGTTCATGTCCTTTAGATTTGAATAATCGAAACTTATTTTTGCTTGAATGTATCCTTTCAGTATTCACCGGCGAGTTCTCTGCTTAAGTCTTTTGTTTTCAGTCATTCATTGTGTTTACAATTGCATTTCTTTATAAATTCCTTTTGCCTCTATTATATTAATGTGTTTGTGTCGAAATATATACATTAATAATCTTCCAGCGTTTTCTTACCTTGATTATTATTTTTAATTTAATCCAAAAAATTGAGTTTTTAATCCTTTTAATAACGTCACGTCACTCGAGTAGCCGCGCGTCGTATTTTATGTATTTGGCTTTGTTAAATTTTTGGCAAGAATTGAAAATGTCACGACCGCTAGCAACAACGACCACAACCGCTTCGTTGGTGGCTAAATCTGCAACTGAACACTGCCAAACATGTTTTGCCGCTATATAAGTCCGGTCTAGATGCGGTCTGCTGCCGTAGTTGCTGTTGCCATGTATTTGTATTGGGACATCCACATCAATTCGGCCATCTAAGCACCACATCGCGCCACTTTGTTGTTGAATTCATACAGACGTACACCTGTAAAATTGTGAGTATGTGTCTTGTTGTTACCCAGCAAAAATCGCGATTACTCCCTAAGGGTCAAGGAGTGCTCCAAAATTAACCGCAATGCATATATAAAATGTGGTCCAATTAACATTGCGATATCCTAGAGCAGGACCATATACTCCATATCTGCATCACATCAGAGTAGCATAACGCTATATATTTTTTCGTTTGTACACGCTTTCGTCCTGCACTTCACAGATACTTTTTCATTGTTCGAATACACAAAACAAAATTTTTATTATCATTTTAACGCGATGTCTCTAACGAGATTCACCTTCTGGAAGTTAGTAAATAACAGCGAGAATTTCTGCACACTCAGCTACAGCTGTTCTGTAATTTTTGGTTTAAAAATTTCAACTTGAATGAATTTTCTCGCCGTTTGATTTTGCTCTTCACTTCACAGATGCCTCTTAGTAATTAATAAAAACTGAAAACAAAAATAAAAATAAAAAAATTACATGTTGCCTCTGATGGCATTCGAACCCTCGAGTTGGTCCGCTACAGCATGACAGAGGAGCACTTTGCAAGTACTCCAATATGCCAAAAATATACTAGATGGTCCAATGATTTTTGCAGGGTAGTGCGCTGCGTGCTGCGCAGCTTTTAAACGGTGTTCCACGGTATCGTTCAGTTCCACATCACTAACTCAAAGCCGAAACATTCACGAAATAAACTAATCGACGAATTGACGAATAGACGAATTTGAAGCGAGCCATTGACGAATGCACGAAATTGCCAAAGCAATGAGCGTTTTGATTTTGGGTTTTCGTCAGTCTATACTTGTTGTTGCTTAGGAAAAAGAAGAGGAAGAATAAGCGAATAAGACCGTAGAAGATGCGAATGAACTGTGTTCACTAAGATAATAATAGTTGAAAACAACAACAACAACATGTCGCTGCTGCACATTTAAAGTGTACTAACTTGAATGCATAGGCAGTTGGCGTTACAATAACAACACACATATGTACATACGTTTAGATGTGCGTGCATACGTATAGTTGTGTATGATCCATGCGCTCTAAAAAGCAATAGCCGGCGCACAGTGGTTCAAATCCAGAAATTGTGTTTAAAATGGGCCTACAGTCTACAATTATGAACCAATTTCATACTTGTTTTTTTAAAGAAAGCTAATGAGAAGAAAAGGGATAAGTGTAGATCGATACGCCACTGGTTCCAAACGCACACACACACGTAAGCTTCGTGTATTTATTTACTTATAAAATAGTGATTATTCTGCAAGATTCTTATAAGTGAACCTTTTCGCTTACAGGTTCCTATTCGCTTTTGGTTTTGCCTGTCCAAGTGCAGCAGCGCCCTTTCTCAAGTGCTTACTTTATGCACATATGTACTTTTTTCTACACAACTGTAACCAATACTATTCATATAATCGCCACAACCGCGTAGACTACCCCACTACAATTTTAATCGAATTTCCTTCAACAACACAACACCAGCCTTCTTATACATATATTTACATAAACATTTTTCGTAAATTTTTGTATTGTAAAGATTTTTTTATAATTAAGCCATATAAAAAAAACTCTTCTCTTCTGCACTGAAAACATTGGTCTCGGTGAAGATGTGAAAATTTTTTTTGTCAAATGCCGAATGCACTTCCGCATCAAGCATTTGAACAAAAACATGCGAAGAAAAGGACTGAACCAACGCTGAGTAACAAAAAACAACTTTTTAATCGGAAGTCCATTTTTTTCAAGTAAGCTTTTTTCGTCGTAAAAAATTTTATAAAGCTTTCAAAATATAAAACTTGTAATTAATTAAATACATATATGTTTGTATTAATCGTTATATGCTTATAATTAATTTATTGATTTTATATCTATTTGCAGATATCTTCTTTAACAAATTCTTATGCAAATATGAATGTGATTTTGTGTTCAAAAAGCAATAAAAGCGTTTTTTTCTCGATAGAGTTTCCACTATAACCAAGTTGTTTTATTTATTGTTTTGGTACAGGTTTGACAAAAAATTGATCAGCTAGGTTTTAGGTTTACATAACCTTGTATTATTGGATCATGGGAAGCAGCTATTTTTAAGAAAATTTATTCTCCTATTCCTGTTAATGAATGTTACATAATAAAAACTATTTGAAAACAATTATGGGGTTCCCCAAAAAAGAAAACAACATTTTTCGATCTATATATATGTATATTTTTTTATGAACGTGCTAGGCACATATGAAAAGTGTGCTCGAAATGTCAGCCAATACACAATTTTTTTTTTTTTTTTAAGTAAAGAGTTAATTTTTGTGATTTTTTTGCGTTTTTTTTTAGTTGAACCCTATGATTGTGTCACAAGAACAGCAGAATCGATTTTCTTCAAAATTTATACCTTCTCTGACTGCTACTTTTTACTAAAACATTTAGTGTATGCAAATAAATATTAAACAATCGGGTCATGTAAAAAATAGCATCAAATCGGTGCATAATTGTAGGATATAGACTCTTAACTCAATTCTGGATTTGCACCACTATTCAGCGCACAGTCAGAGTTCCCCACATAGGCTACCACCAAAAGCAGTAACCGTACTAAAAATTCGCTGAAATTTCGTTTAAGCTCTATTCCGCATTTAAAAATGAAGAAATGTGGAAAACACTAAAACGCTCTTGTGGGCGGAAATGATAAATGTTATCCGATTTTGATGAAATTCAGAGTAGTTGCTGATTTTAACCAGAAAAGCGGTAATCTTATTGTTCACCAACTCTAAAAAAAATGATATCACATTATACAACATCACATGGCATGAAATCACATTAGAGTACGTCATATACTGCGAATATGCGTCTTTTATTAAAACTTTTTTGCTGGACACTTTGCTATGTATCTGCGTAATTGCTTTTTCAGATTACGCTAGTCAGTTTTTAGTATCTACTATTGGCCGCTTTGGCCCCATTGTGCGGCGCCCGGAGCAGCATAACGAGCCCAAACGCGAAAGTCAATAGCCGCCAGCCAAATGTGAACGCCGCTTGTTATAGATATGTACATACATAGATATATATTTTATATAGAAATTTGTGTACTTATGAATGTTAATATATACGAATGTACTAACTTCTTTCTACTTTAGTAAGAAGCGCTTGCTGGCTTAGATATAGCCATAATGCTTGAAGTAGCTTGCGTGTGGCTGCAATGCTCACCTCCCTCCCCTCTTCCCATTATCGAAGTAGTCTACGAAAACATGTCTGCGATTTTCCTTCATGCACCCATGATTTTATAATTTTTAACAATTTGGTAGAGCATAGATATTTTTGCTTGAATTTTTCATATTTTCCTCTTTTTTCCTTGTCTACATCTGTACGCTATGAAGCTTCTGCCGGTATTGTTTTTGTCATTGATCGTATTTGAGTCATGGCTGAAAAATGTAGTTAGTTATTTTGTTATTGCAATGCGCGCAAAGTTACAATTAGGACTACATACGTCCAGATATGCAGCGATATACATACATATGTAATTTTGTAAAATAATTTCATATACAATTAGAAAAATCATACATATGTATATGTACATAAACATATGGTGGTTAGTAGAGCCATACAAACATATGCACATACATACATACATATGTACATATGTCTACAATCAATCTCGAGTAAAGCAAGCGCACAAGTCATGCAAGCGCCGATATTAGCTTTGGTAATTATATTTGATACGGAAATTTGATTTGCTTTTGGAAAATTGATTTTTATTTCTTAATTTTAGTGAACGTCTGTAAATGACAAGTAGACAATTTCGGGTGCTAGACTTCCAGGTAAGGTAATTCGTTGGTACGAGTTATTTTCAGTTAACGCACGGAGCGAGAGAGAGTGAGGAAGTGGGCGAGAAGCAGGAAGTGAAAACTATTATGTGGAACGATTTTAAAAAAATTACCCACTGTCATAATTGCTAAATAATTGTTGTTCTGTTAGGCATGGCGATCAGAGACTGTTAATAAAAGTTCCTGCTGGGCTTTAAAATCAAAAAGTCAAAGTGAAAAAATTTTCGTACCGCTTTTTCGGTGCTACAATTAGAAACCTCTATAACAGGAAGACTTTTGTATGTAATATGCCATTTCCTTATAACTTCAAAATTTTTAACTCTCATTGTTCTTAAATACTTTTATTTTTAGCTAGCAAATACCCGGCATGCTTCACTGTCCCTTGAAAGTATCTTTGTGTTGTTACCAGGGTTGGGCACGCTGCACTAAATTTTTAATGCACTTCATTACCACTATTCGAGTAGTGGTAGTGAAATTTGAAATGCTTTGGCACTAACAAAGTATCTCCTATCATCACACAAACAGTCAGACGAGCATACGCGTCTTGGCCAGTGTGGCCACATAATTTTTTTATTTTTTACCAAAGTCACCGGAAAAAATTACCAAATTGAACAAAAAATTACCAAACTTATTTTATGGGCACAACTGTACAAAGAAACATATCGAGCCCTAACCGCCAAAATAACGTAAACGACATTTCCCCAAAATTTTCTTTTTGATGCAGAAGTATTCCTAGAGCAAATGCATTTTGAAAAATTGTCGACAACGTTATTTTGGCAGCTAGGGCTTTGGGCAAATCTAAAAGATAGGTACACTTTCCAAAAAAAAAAAAAAATTGAATTTTTAAATTTGTGAGCACACCTATGTTTTATATATCACTTATATATCTCTTAGTAAATCGATTAATATAAGTGTTATTCAATTTCATCAAGTGCTTCAAAAGTTAGACGAGGAATAAACATGAAATAGAAAACAAAAGAATAAGCTGGATTCACATAACGCTGTTCAAGTTGTAAATTTTGAGCAAAGATTTTAAAAGTT